TAACGTAGCTGAAGTCGACATACCTTAGTTCGAATTTACCGCGGTTCAGACGCGGTCCACACACGGCAGGCAGGCTCCCCCGTCGACTCCGCGGTACTCCTCTCGCTGACGTGGAGTACCGCAGTCGACGGCGAGCACTTCCTGGTTCGAATTATCGCGTCCACACCAGACGCGATAAATCGAACCCGGAAGTTCGATTGCCAGCCGTCGAACTACCGCGGTAGTGTAGACAAGCCCTAAGAGGTGTGCCACAGAACTCATAGCAGAGAGGGTGGGGTGGAGAGAGTTGTTTTTATTTAGATGTAATATATAGGCTAAAGGTATTAACATAACTTTGTTGCTGTCTAACATTAAATAAGGTCTCTGGAGTTTGGCATACAGAGATATTAGCCTGCTTAGTACTATAGCAAATACACTATTAAAAACCCTTTTAACTTCTTATTAAAGATAAAGAAGGAAATGCAATTAAAACATTTGAAATATAAAGCATTAAATTATTACTTTTATTTTAACAATATTTTTTTCCTTTTAGTTGGAGAGAATTTTAGAGGGGAAAAAACCCCGTGTTTGACAGTCTTTTAGATGGTATTGAAGATAGTAATAATTGTCTTTTTGGGTAAAAGAGAAGAAATTAGTTGAGATGAGCTGTTGTTAAACTCTGATCCCATGTCATCCCAGGTTGTGTGTGGGATTCAGTTGGAGGCAGTAGAGGTGACAGTGTCAACTGGTGCCACTTTGTGGCCTGGTCTGGTCAGGACATCTCAGGATTAGGCTGACAAAGGCCCAGAATCCCGAGAGACAGTGGTGGCGGTAGTCATAAGGCTGACGCTTGTGTTAGTAGCCTCCATACTGTTTTCTGTATTTTGCCCCCCAAGGTTAGGGTCACCATATGTCCCATTTTGGCTGGGACAGTCCCTTTCTTAAGCCCTGTCCTAGCCGTCCTGACTTTTTTGGCAAAAATTGGCATTTGTCCCATGTGCTCTTGCCAACTTAATCAGAGGTGTGTGCCCGCAGGCAAGAGCAGCTCCGGCCAGTTCTGCACAGGAGTGGCGGTGTGTGTGTGTGGAACAGGACAGACAGCTTGGGCCAGTGCAGTGTCCCGTTTTCCCTTCGGGAAATATGGTCACCCTACACAAGGTTTTTATATTTAAGGACTCAAAAAGGGAGGGTGGGTGGAATAGCCCATTCCTTCATTATTTTGTTTACTAACTAGGCTTAATATTTGACACTCCAATTTTGGTTTATTATTGTTGGACTTATATTTTCTTCAAATACAATGAGGAGTCCAGTGGCACCTTAAAGACTAACAGATTTATTTGGGCATAAGCTTTCCTGGGTAAAAAACCTCACTTCTTCAGATGCATGGATGCATGCATGCATCTGAAGAAGTGGGTTTTTAACCCACGAAAGCTTATGTCCAAATATATCTGTTAGTCTTTAAGGTGCCACCGGACTCCTCGTTGTTTTTGTGGATACAGACTAACACGGCTACCCCTCTGATACTCAGGGCCGGCTCCAGGCACCAGCCCAGCAAGCAGGTGCTTGGGGCGGCCAAGGGGTAGGGGCGGCACCTCGGGCTCTTCGGCAGCGGGTCCCTCAGTCCCTCTCGGAGGGAAAGACCTGCCGCCGAATTGCCGCCAAAGAAGAAAGCATCGCGGTGGAGCTGCCACCGATCGCGATCGCTGCTTTTTTTTTTTTTTTCCCCGCCGCTTGGGGCGGCAAAAACCCTGGAGCTGGCCCTGCTGATACTTATATTTTCTTGTTTGCTAAACAAGCTTTTAACACAGTCTGAGTTATATTAGTAGGCTTTTTGTGTGGCCTAATTCAGCTTTTGTGGATGAGTTGTACTTTTATTAACATTTGTTATAATAGGTTATTTTGATATTTATGAACATTTATATACTTTTTACAGTTGAGCTCAGAGTTAGGGTCAATTTATGCCTACAATGATTTTAAGCCACCTTTGTGCTCTCTGCAGATCGTGTATTGTTTCTTCTTCTCCACTCTGAAACTGGCTGAAGCGAGCCACACTTTTGCTTTAGATGTTGATTAAGAAGAGTGGTGGTGTATTTATGTTTAGTCCCTAAAGAGAGAGTCATTCTTTGCATGTACTTTTCTGTTTATATAATAATGCATACCAGAAAAGTGTTTAAACTCATGATAAGGGTAGAGTCCTGTCAAGTTCCAATAGCCTTAAACACAACTATTACATGTTCGCTTTTCTTTATTGACGTAGAAATATTTTGAACTGGGGAAGTTCAAAGCAAGAAACAGTGTTGTTCTGTGTTCAAAAAGGCAGTGCAGTCCTAGCAATTGTAGCATACCAGAACAGTAAAAGCAACTGTATACTTTTGCTGCTGGGCACTGTCACATTCCAGTATTTGGTGAAAAAACAACAGGGTTGGCTATTAATAATACTGATCTCTACTAGTGGGGTGTTTAAGAACAGCTGATGAAATGGTTTATGTGCTGAGGAACTCCCTTTAATTATTTGTAATGGAATATATCTATCTGTCTAGCTATTACAAGTAAATTTATGTCATTATACTCCCTTAAATGATTAACTAGAAGCAAAAAGAATTCCTATTTACCATATGTTTCATATACTACAGTACAGAATAGTGCTTTTTATTCACTGTGTAAATAGCCCTTAAATATAACTCCTGATCAACTAACAAAACTATTAGGTAAATGGGCCCATACCCATTTTTAAATGTAATAATTTTCAGCAAGTTAATTATTCCTGTAATTCATATGTCTTCAGCATGTTCTACAACAAATTAAATACCTTTATAAACAGCCATGGTTAAGCACAGACTATGTTATCATTTGGGTTGAATTTTCTGAAGCATATAGAACCATGTCATCTTCTGAGTTATCGCAATGTTAAGATAGAAAGCAGCTGTATATCTATTTTGATTTGTATCTAGTAATAATTTGTAAGTGTCAAAAACATACAGATAAGCACAATATATGTTTGTTTTACTCTAAACCAATAAAATACAGTCTATCAAGTGTCTAGAAATCTAGATATAAATATATCAAAAAAAATCTTCTTAAGCACCAGAGTAGGAAGCCAAATAATTCTTGAATCTATTTTTTAGCATTGAACTTTAAATTGCATAATGCTATACATAGAAAATACTTTCCATTTTAAATGTTACTGTGTTAAAAATATATCATCTTCTCTGAAGCTGGAAAGTAGCCTTCTAAAGATACAGCTGGCAATGTGTAGACTAGTAGTGATGCAATGGAAGGAAAATTATTTCTTGTTAATAAAATGATGCCTAGAACAACTACACATCATACCTGCTCCCACTCTAATCCGCAGTTCTAAAAAAAAAAAAAAGGAAAAGCCCAGTGACTTCATTCTGGATAAGGCTAAAATGTTTTTAGTTTGTGTTTTGTGAGAACTACTTACAATTTGTTTGGCGAATTAATAATATGTTTGTTGTGGGTTTTATTTGGCTGTGGTTTCATTTTACTTGGTGGCCCTTTTGAAAATTCTTAGAATAGAACTAAAACATCTGACCTATGAAACTTTTTAAAAGTAAAAATACATTTCTGACGGGTTCCCTCTGGGGTGCCATCTGGAACGGGGGTATCACTAAGCCCCATGACCCACCAGCCTGGGCTCCCTCTCACACTGTAGTGCTGTGACAAGCTGCAAAGTCCTCCAGCCTGCACTTTTGCCAGCATACATACAGGTAGGGAGACACCCAGCTGCAGTTACATGCAGGCTCTCTGACCAGCCCCTGCATAGAAAGGCTACAGCTAAGGCAACTCCCAACTCCTCAGGTACGCACCTCCTCTGGAGTATAAACCCAAAATTATACTGTCTTGTGCTGCACAGGGAACTGTACAGCATAAACTCATTAGAAAACTGTAAAGCATAAGCTCCGTCCCTCAAGGTGGAGAGGAATATGCAACAACCTTTGCCCCGAGTTATGATTCCCACACACTTCACTTCAACACACTGGTTTAGATAAAGTAAAAACAAGTTTATTAACTACAAAAGATTTTAAGTGATTATAAGTGATAGCAAACAGATCAAAGCAGATTACTTAGCAAATAAACAAAAAATGCAAACTAAGCTTGATATACTAAATCGATTGGATATGAATAGCAAAGTCTCACCCTAAGAGATGATACAAGCAGACTGCAGATTCTTAAGAGGCAAGCTGAAGTTGCTTTACAGTTGGAATCCCCGGGTGTTTCATTCACAGGCTAAAAATCCCTTTACCTTGGGTCCAGCACTTCCCCCAGTTCAGTCTTCGTTCCTCAGGTGTTTCCAGGATTCGTCTTGTGTGAGGAGTGAAGAACACAGACCAGATGATGTCACTCCCTGCCTTATATAGCTTTTGCATGTGGGGGGAACCCTTTGTTCCCAAAGCTTGGTTTCCAGACCAGTCTCTGGAAAAATATTGACATCCCAAGATGGAGTCCAGAGACATGTGGTCTCATCATATGTCCTTGTAGAGTCATAGCAGCCGTTACTCGGAGGCTGTCTGTAGCGTTCTCAGGAAGGTACTCCAGATGGGAGATAAGCTTCTCCTAAGGCCTATTGTTTTTTCCTAATGGCCCATTGCCCTGAATAGGCCCTTCCCCACCCCTGTCTAGACTGAAAACATCTTTTCTAGTGGGCGTTACCCAGGTGTAACTACATTTCAAAATACAGATACATAGTCAATATTCATAACTTCAGATACAAAAGTGATACATGCATACAAATAGGATAATCATATTCAGCAAATCATAACTTTTCCAATGACACCTCACATGACTTATCTTGCATAAAATACATTATAATTATGTCATAATCATATCATCATAATATCACTGTGAAGGATATGGGATGCAGTGTCACAACATTATTTTAACAATTATTGTGTTAGAAGTAGTATAGCCTTCAAAAACTATTTGGTTAAATTTCTGTCCTTCCTAATAATCCTGGTGAATGTGTTGATTGTAAGTGTTGAACTTTTTTTTTTCTCTTCCAGGTATATTAGAAAAAACATGTTTTTATTCAAATGGGAGTGACCTTCTAGCTGCTGGTGGCAACATTCGAACATCTGACATTCCTTTTCCAAATATTGTTGAAAATGGTTCGGATGTGGTTCCCACAGTGGATCTCAAAGTGCTGCCATCATCCTGGACCCAAAGCCCTTTATCCCATGTTGACCAAATGCATGAAAACTTAAGCATGTTTAGGCAGGCATTACAGGAAGATTCCTTGGCTCCTATTACACCAGCCCCACCATTCAACCCCACTACTACAGATGTTGGTATTTTGATCAGAGCCCCTGAAGACCATACGTGGTCATTTGCCACTACAGAGGAGAAAACTCGTTGGTCCACAGACACATCCATCAAGATCACAGACAGGATATCCTCTCTACCTACGTTAAGTTCTATCCATCCAGCTGCTGTACAAGAAATGAATCTGAAAAAAAGTAAGACGACATTTTATTTGACTCTATAACTAATTATAACACAAAAAGTACAAAAAATATACAGTTGGTATTGTGATTGGAATACTTCCCAAACCCATGAATTCTCAGGAATAGAAGTGAGTTCTAGATAGTTTTCATCATGCAGGTTCCATATATTAAGGAATCAATTTATCAGAATATATAGTCAGCCCTGATGAGGAAGAGTCACGAACCTCCTTTGCGGTTAAGTAACTCTTACTTAGACTGCTGTTTGGTTGACATATTGCATATTGTGATAGCTTTGCATGTTTGCACAGACTATCCAACAAATTCTTGGACTGCATTGCAGACAACTTTTTATTTTCAGAAGGTTGAAAAAGCTACTGGGGGGAAGCTGTTCTAGACTTGATTTTAACAAATAGGGAGGAACTCATTGAGAATTTGAAAGTAGAAGGCAGCTTGGGTGAAAGTGATCATGAAATCATAGAGTTTGAAATTCTAAGGAAGGGTAGAAGGGAGTACAGCAAAATAGAGACAATGGATTTCAGGAAGGCAGATTTTGGTAAGCTCAGAGAGCTGATAGGTAAGGTCCCTGGGAATCAAGACTGAGGGGAAAAACAACTGAGGAGAGTTGGCAATTTTTCAAAGGGACACTATTAAGGGCCCAAAAGCAAGCTATTCCGCTGGTTAGGAAAGATAGAAAATGTGGCAAAAGACCACCTGGGCTTAACCACGAGATCTTGCATGATCTAAAAAATAAAAAGGAGTCATATAAAAAATGGAAACTAGGACAGATTACAAAGGATGAATATAGGCAAACAATACAGGAATGCAGGGGCAAGATTAGAAAGGCAAAGGCACAAAATGAGCTCAAACTAGCTACGGGAATAAAAGGAAACAAGAAGACTTTTTATCAATACATTAGAAGCAAGAGGAAGACCAAAGACAGGGTAGGCCCATTGCTCAGTGAAGAGGGAGAAACAGTAACAGGAAACTTGGAAATGGCAGAGATGCTTAATGACTTCTTTGTTTTGGTCTTCACCGAGAAGTCTGAAGGAATGTCTAGTGAATGCTAATGGGAAAGGGGTAGGTTTAGCAGATAAAATAAAAAAAAGAACAAGTTAAAAATCACTTAGAAAAGTTAGATGCCTGCAAGTCACCAGGGCTGATGAAATGCATCCTAGAATACTTAAGGAGATAATAGAGGAGGAAGGCTGAAAGAATTGGGTTTGTTTAGTTTGGAAAAGAGAAGACTGAGAGGGGACATGATAGCAGTTTTCAGGTATCTAAAAGGGTGTCATAAGGAGGAGGGAGAAAACTTGTTCACCTTAGCCTCTAAGGATAGAACAAGAAGCAATGGGCTTAAACTGCAGCAAGGGAGGTTTAGGTTGGACATTAGGAAAAAGTTCCTAACTGTCAGGATGGTTAAACACTGGAATAAACTGCCTAGGGAGATTGTGGAATCTCCATCTCTGGAGATATTTAAGAGTAGCTTAGATAAATGTCTATCAGGGATGGTCTAGACAGTATTTGGTCCTGCCATGAGGGCAGGGGACTGGACTCGATGACCTCTCGAGGTCACTTCCAGTCCTAGAATCTATTAATCTTGGCTGAAAGTGAGTTATTACAGATTTTAACCCTGTGTTTTAGACTGAGTTTTTTCATATTTCAGTGATTTTAAAAAATCAGTTTAGGCCCCAATTCAGAAAGATGGTTTAAACACATGTTTAACTTTAAGTGCATGAGTAGTTGCATTGAAGTCAATGGGCCTACTCACATGCTTAAAATTAGGCACAGTGCTGAATAGGGGCCCTAATGTTAAGGTTACATTTTTTCATATCTTATTGGACAAATTCCTGCCCAATTTGAAGCTAATAGGTTCTTTACAAATACATATTCTATCACATTTGTGGGGACTCTAAAGAAATAATCAACAACAACAACAAATAATATTGAAGATAATTGTGGTCAGGTTTTACCATTATGACTGCAGCTACTGGTGCAATACTGTAACACTATGGTAATTTTATTAGCAGAGTTTGGCGGGATGGGAGAGGGACTCATTGGTATCATTCCTGCATAGTTTCTAAAACACAATGGTACAGTATTAAAATAACATTGAATGCTCCCCTTTACTTTGATATCACTGTCTTGCTATTGATCACCTGATACCACAAAGGTATCTTCACAGAACTGGAATAAATCAGCTATCAGATTTCATCAGAGATGAAATGGTAACCAGAATGATGTGAGAATGGCAGTCTATTAGTAATGCCATGGTGTTTTTGAGAACTTCTGTAGCGGGGATAGAGAGACAGTGTCTCATGGTGGTAACTGCTTCTGAAAGTTTTATACTACTGGTTATTTTGAGGAGAATGATGCGTGCCATACTCTGCTGCCAGGCACTGTGGTTAGTTAAGTAGTAACATCCGATATTGATTTATCTGAAATTTTTAATCATTGTTGTATTATTCAAGCTGAGCTGATGTGATTTAAGAATGTCACATCAGAAAACCCTTAGTGTAAAATTTTCATGTGAGATGCTATTTATATCTTCAGCACTGAGGACGCTTTTCTCTTCTTCAGCATAACAGAGGATAAGCCCTTGCTAAATCCAAAGAGACATTTCCAAGTCCTATTTCCTTTTTCCTCCTACAATGACACAAAAAAGGGGTGGATGGCTGGGAGCTCTGATTTCTCTTCTTGAGCAAATTTTAGGAATATATTACACACTGTTGTCACAGTTCAGAGCAAATGCACCTATATTTCCCCCTCCTGGTCCACGAAGGACACCCACTCTAGGCTCCTGGCTCCTCTGCTGTCATAGAATCATAGGACTGGAAGGGACCTCAAGAGGTCATCTAGTCCAGTCCCCTGCACTCATGGCATGACTAAGTATTATCTAGACCATCTGGACCTGTCACCTCTCTTGGGTGGAGATCAGCATCTTTCTCACCCCTGACCGGGTTTTTGGCAGCCTGCACAGTTCCCTGCCTACACTGTGATGTCCCCATCAAGCCAGAGTAAATGGGACAGAGTCTACACTTTGCTTTCTTTCCCAGGGCTATGAACAGCTATAACTGTCAGCAGTTACGAGTGAGCACGTAGCTCTTTATAAGCAAATACATTTATTCTTAAGGTGAGAGCATTGCAGAGAAAACTTATTAAAACAATAAAAGAACCTTTGTCTGTTCCATCTGTTGTACTTACAGTGCTGCCAAGCTATAGGAAATATCGGACCTCTTCTTTGTCAGTCTCAGAAAGTGTTATTGGTGTTTCTTGTTATGGGTTGATTCTCATGGTTTTAGTTTTCTCAATGTTGATTTTCAACCCTATTAATTGTGCATAAGCCAAGAGATAATTTTAGCTTGCATGTCTCTCTGGGTACAGGCTAGTAAGTTGATGTCATCTGCAAGTCAAGGTCCTCTTACTTTTGTGTTAAAGTCCATTGTATGCCCTTTGGTTTTGTGGTAGTTCTCATTACCGAATCCACTATCAGTAAAAAGATATGGGTGACAAAAGACATCCTTGCCTGATGCCCGTAGTAACCTTGAATGGTTTAGTCAGTTTGCTGTTATGTGTAACGTGGCATGTCATATTTTCATAAAAGCTCTCGATGCTCACATATTTCTGAGGTATTCCATAGTGGCAAAACAACTTCCATAAAACTGTTCCATCCACTGTGTCAAAGGCTTTCTGGAAATCTATACAATTCAAATAAAGTAGTGATTGCAATTCGATCCACATTTCTATGATGATACATAAGATTATCATTTGATCTATATGTGATTCCTCCTTCTGAACTCTGCCTGTTCTTGTCATAACTTTGAATCTACCACTCCCTTTACATATATTATTCTATACAAAATAAATACCTTACTTGGAATAGACAGCATAGGAATGCCCCTCCAGCTTTTACACTGACTGAGTTCTCCTTTCTTTGGCAGTTTCACTGTATGACCCTTTTCCATTTGTTTGGTATTTTTACTTCTTCCTATATCTTTTGTAAGAGGCCTATAAAAATGACTAGAAGAACATGGTAGACTATGTTAAGAACCACTGTCAGTGTGTTGTCCAGACCTGGTGCCTTTCCAATTTTTAACTGATTAATGGCCATTTCTACATCTACTCTGGTGATTGGCCCTCATTTGACATACAGATTGTCTCTGTCCTCTATATCTGGGGGATTGGCCACTGGCTCACCATTCAGTAGTTGACTAAAATAGTGCCTCCATATATTTAATGGTTCTGATGTCCTCGGGGTAACCTCAGTGTTCTCTTAACATTGCTTTTTTGTATGAAATTTCCTAAGTTTACTGCTTAGGTTGATTCATATCACTGGCCTATGTGTGTAGTAAACATTCCCTAGTTGTCGCCACAGCAATAAACCAAGTACAGTAAAATTGTTACCATTAGATGTAATTTTTGTTCTAACATAGTTTTATGTGACCTATCTTCCACTATCATCAAGTTTTAACTTTTATCCCATAGATGGGAGGTTTTGAAACAAAAGATGATTTTCACTGAGAGAGGTTTTGGTTTCTTCTCTGTTAAATAAGAGGTGACTGAAAATTAATTTTTAAATAAAGGTAGTGAACAGGGAAATTAAATTCCTTTAAAGTAGTTTAGTAAAGGAATACTCTGAGTTGCATCTGTGTTGGAAGGAAAGGGGAGAAATGTGTTTTTTCCGGTCAAGAGGTTTGAGTTAATGTGGCTGTATTTCTGGTTTGTCGTTTTGGAAACCGAGTGTGCTCTATAGATTTAAGACACTGGCATAGGTCAAGCATAGTCCATGTGAGTGTTTTCTAAAACCAAAAATAGCAACAGGGAAACTTGTAAAGAATCCAGAGGTCCAAATAAAGTATATTCATTTAATTTAGAAACCTTCTGTGTGGTATTCTGTTAATCCACTAATTGACAGTAAATAGAAAAAAAGAATACTTTTACATGTATTGGTTTATCTTAAAGGACATAGAGTGTTTCTTCAAGATAAAAATAAAAATGTTTTTTACCTCGAGCTA